ATTGAAAAAAGTGTGAGGGTTTAATACTACTTTACTGTCCCCCAGTATACTCTATGTAGTTATTGGTGGCTTAGCCAATATATTGAAGTTATTAGTATAGTGGGGTGGCCTATTAGAATTCTTTGTGTCAGATGTCTTGTTGCTCATTTATTGCCATTGTTGCTCACGTTTGTCACAATTGCCCATTTGTTGCATGTGTACTGCCACAGTTGCCTGTTTGTTTCTCTTGAATTATCTCACTTTGTTGCCCGCTTACTGTTATGGTTGTCCATTTCTTGCCCATGTGCACAAGTGCCACATCTGTTGCCTACCTACCGTCATGATTGGCAACGTGTTGCCCATGTTTGTAGCCCATATGTTGCCTGCTTTGCCAATGAGCTACCCATAGATTGCCAAGTTTGCCAGTGTGCCATGATTGCCTATTTATTGCTCTGTATTGCCACCACTGCCTGTGTGTTGCCTTTGTATTACCACAGTTTAGTATGCTTGGCAACTGAGCATGAGAATGGGGAAGAAAGGTGATTTAAGTCACTTTGAACGGGGCATGGTGGTTGTTGGCAGACGGGCTGGTCTGAGTATTTCAGCAACTGCTGATCTACTGGGATTTTCATACACAACCATCTCCCGGGTTTACAGAGAATGGTCTGAAAAAGAGAATAATCTAGTGAGCAGCAGATCTCTGGGCAAGAATACCTTTTTGAGGTCAGAGGAGAATGGCCAGACTGTTTCAAGCTGGGGGGGGAGGCAACAGTATCTCAAATAACCACTTGTTACATCTGAGGTATGCAGAATACCATCTCTGAACACACGATACATTTAACCTTGAAGCAGATGGGCTACAGCCACAGAAGACCACACCGAGCGCCACATCTTTCCGATGCCGTTTTTTTTTCTTTTATTCTGACGGCAGCAGCTGTCAGAATACTAAAACAAAAACAGCAGATTGCAAGGGAAGCATTAGCTTCTTTGCTACCTGTCATCATTTCAGGGGGGTGCTCTCTGTTGTTGCACAGGGGGCACCTCCCTGAAATTAGAAGGGCACCTCCCTGAAATGACTTATTTCAGGTTGGGATCCCTGCAGATTTGACGATTGCAATGAAAGGGATCACACCACAACCGCTTGCCACTTGGTTGCGGCACAGTATTGCAATGCAAAATCCACATGGAAATAAAAAACAGGTGTTCAGAATGCTGAAGTATCACCTCCTGAATGCCTGCAAACCGCTGCTCAACTGCATTCTGAAAAGCGATCCACTGCAGAACGCTTTTTAGAGAACGGTTACGTCGGCTATGTAACTGAAAGTCTAAGGCCTGTTCACGCCAAGGTGTCATAATTTTTGCCCATTTATACGCGCGTTTACTGCTAGCATTTTTTTGAGTTTTTTTCATAGACACGTGTTTTCATAGGCAGCTTGAGAGACGTTGTAATCAATGGAAAAAATGCGTGCAAAAACATGCGAATTGCTTCTGTTGCACGTTTACTGGCGTTTCCATTGAAGTCTATGAGGAAAAAACAAGCTGCAAACTGCCAAAAGAAGCTCATGTACTTTTTACTGCTCAAAAACACCTAGGGGGGAACGGGGCCTTATAGTATAAAAATTAAGCATAAAATGTAAAAAATAAACTGGCAGAATAAGGTGTAAACAAATGCTGCGCAATTAAAGGCACCAGTTTACTCCAACATGTGAAATAATATACATAATGGTAAAAATTGTACACATAATGCTACTGAATAAGACAAAAATGTGCCAACAAGAGGGCAGATAATACACCGACCTCACAGAGTAACCCCCACTTATAAACAGTATTCCTCGATAGCCACAAAGGATATACACGGAGTGGCCAGATTATTATGACCACCTGACGTTTGTAGGCAAATTAGCTATAATTTCGCGCTGTAGTTGCTAGAGGGCCAGACCATTATAAATAGGGAAGCAGGTTGTTTACCACGACAGTAGAAGTGATTTTTTTCTGAAGATATGGGGAAACAACGCAATTTAACAGCCTTTGAACGTGGGATGATTGTTGGCGCTCGGAGACATGGGGCGAGTATCAGCAAAACAGCAGAATTCGTTAAATGTTCAAGAGCAGCTGTTGTTAAAGTGTTTAAAGACTGGACTGTCAGCCGAAAATCTGGGTCTGAACGTGCTAATTGTGGCCGTCAGCGACTAGTCAATGTTAGGGCAGAACGGACAGTGGCAAGACTGGTACAAGACAACAGAAGGGCAACAGTGCAGTGTCAGATTCCTCGCACCAACTTTCAACATCTCGTGGGATCACGAGGCGGCCCAACGAAGTCATCTCGTGGAGTCATCGCGTGGCCCAACGAAGTACTGATGGGGTGGTCATAATAATCTGGCCACTCAGTGTAAATCTACTTTGTGTGCACCAAATGCCTTTGCAAACCCAGAAATGACCTTGTAAATGTAGCAGTGACATCATCAGTGTGCTGTACATAGCCTGTGCAGAGAGCAGTGCTGTGGACTTCAGATGGAGAACTTAATTTCCACCTATGCTGATTGACAGCAGCATTGGGCGGGTGCAATAGCCAGCCTTCTATTGGCTATTGCAAATTGAAATAGCCAATAGCAGCCTAGCTATTCATTCCCATGATGTCTTTTTTTTTTTTACTCTGACGTTGGCCAGCGGCCCCCGATGTCAAAATAAAATAATAAAAAAAAGACAGCAGGGAATCCGGGATAAAATGTATCTCTCCTGGGCGTCCAGCAGCCGCTATCTTATAGCAGGAGACTCTCGGAACATCCGGAAGAGTTGAGATGTCTGCTGCTGGAGCTGTCACGGTTAGAGGTGCACCGAAATGAACATTTCAAAACCGAAACGAAACCGAAATAATAAAAATATCAAGCCGAAACCGAAAATGTTTTTATTTTAACTTTTTCTCATTTTTAAAAATATTTTACTTTTATTTTTTTAATAAACGTTTTCATTTTTTTATACGTATTTTTTATTAAATATTTTTATTTTTTTACTTTTAGGGGCTTTGGGGAAATTTTTAAACAGACCCCTGATATTTCCCTTTTAAAATAGAAAAAGAGATTGAAGACACAGAGTCCTCAATCTCTTATTCTGCAGCCCCTGTTATAAATGCACAGGAATCCTCTGAGTGTTCCTGTTCATTGATAACATGAGGACAGAGTATGTTTCCTGTAACCACAATCATGAATGAACAGGAGGTGATGTAGATCACTTCCCATTCATTCATAATTGAGAATATAATCAACATTCAATGTCCTCAATTATTTACAAACACTCAGCGATCACTGAGTGTTTGTACCTCGCTCTCCATCCTGACAGAGCTCAGCCTGCTGTGACAGCGCTGGCTGTCTCCGCCCACACAGCTCTTACCTGATCTGTGACAGGAGGCAGAGCGGTGCGGGGAGGAGAGACGCCGGCTGCTCACAGCGCTCTCCTCCCACTGCGCTTGGCCGCCTGTGACAGTTTCTCTCCTCCCCGCTGGGACACAGAGCAGCGCCCAGCGGAGAGGAGAGAAAAAAATGGATGCACCGTTGTAACGTCCAGAAAATGGCACTTTCGACATTATGCCAAAAGTGCCATTTTCGGCGGGCCGATATATCAGTGTCAGCGTACAATGTGTACACTCCATTAAGGTCTCCGCACAGCAGCACGCTGCACTGTGCACTGACGTTCTGTGACCTGTGGTGGCATCCAGTGCGCTGTGGAGAGAGGCCGCATGTTTGCATTTTTCCACAGCGCACCACACCGCCCATCACACCCGGGTCGTATTGTGAGCAGGGCACATAGAAAACAATTGTTTTCTATGTGCCCTAGCAATGACCTGTGTTTTTCCTGTACAGAAAATCTTAGGTCACCACTATAGTGTGAAGGGGCCATCAAGCTGTGGGTGGCCCTGCAGGTTTCTATTGCTTGTCTGTGTGCCCATTAGGGAGATCCGCTCCCTGTAAAGGTGCCCATACACTGCACGATTATCGTACGAGAATCACGGGAAATCCCGCGATCGTACGATAATCGTCTTCCGTCGAACAAGCAGGCTGGAAAACCCGCCGAGAAACGTACGATTCTCGGCAAGTTAGTGGCCTGCTTGTTCGACAACTGCCGAACAGGCCGGTGTGCGCACACGCACACAGCCTGTTTGCAGTCATCGGAAGCCCGCCCCTCATTGCAGTCATCAGAAGCCCGCCTCTCAGGGGGGCGGGCTTGCGATGATCGCAAGTACGATCTGCCTGCCCAAGATGGGCAGATCGTACGTTTTTTAAATTACTTTACAACCCTCGCAAGACATTAAGCTTGCACACGTTACAATCTGATCTACCAACAACTATGTAGGGCAAGGGCCTGCCAGATTAGGGACATTTCAAGGGACAGACATTGTAAGGGATGCACCTTCCAAAGTGGAAATGAGAGACATGTGGTATGGATGATGATTATTGTGTTTTTGTCATCCGTCTTCCTGTGAGTCGTGAGAAAACACTCAGGTAACCGGTATGAGTGTGCAAAACGTGTGATGACAGATGTGCCTGCAAACACGTTTCCTACGGGGCTGATGCAAACGGCCTCTGTTCACCACGCAATCAACAAACTGGTCACACCAGAGGATGGAAAGAGTCAACAACCTCCCACACATGGACAGCAGCTGGAGCCTGGCGCCGCCATCTTTAGTAAGGGCAAGCCCTGTCACAGCACACCACACACCCCCACTTCTGGAACAGGGACCGTACAATCTATGTGCACCCCAACTACTTTTATACGCCGTGCAGTGCAACTCTAAAGCGCCACAGCGGGAGTGGCGTTATATGAAGTAACGCTGTGCCCAATACTTGAGGCAGCTGCCGCCATGTTTGTTGTGGGCGATAAAATAATTAGTGGGTAAATTCGACTTCATGGAGACTGGTATCAAATTAGTTCTTGATTTCCCCGACACCTGTGTTCATCAGCTGCAATGAGCGTCTAACAGGGTAATGGGCGTGGTCAGAATGAAAGGGGCGGTGCAAAACAGGGTTTAAAGGGGGAGTGAGCTGTCTACAGGATAGGTCGGTGGTGACGTTCGTAGCTGTGCGACCCCAGGGGCTGAGTGTGAGGACTGCTGGAGAGCATCAGGTATGGCGGGGGGTACCTGTGCAGTATTTCCCATCCCCCACATAGGTTTGATCGCTATAGGGGGGGAGGGGGCTTGCACATTAGTTCTAAGTGGAGCAGCCTGTCAATAAGTAACGAACGTGTTTTGTTTAGTTGCAATGTAAATGACTGCAGACTATCAGATCAACTTTCCTTGTCAACAAGATCAGCATGCATTGTGCTTGCTGGGACTTGTAGTCCTGCAGAGCTCAATGTCCTTTGCCCTGTCACTGCAGTCGTTATCTGTTACTTTGCAATGATCACTGACCATGGTAGGCAATCCGTGCATCTGTTTACAAAGCTGCATGCTCTGCCTACCATTGGGTATGCTGGGACTTCTGGTTCTATAAGTTTTTTTTTTTGTTTCTAATGTGAAAATGCGTTTAAAACTAAAATTGTAGGTATGGAACTGCAAATATATTCCTCAATAGCTGCAAAGATTTTCAATTTGCCATGTGAACCACATTATTTTGCAAATCCAGATATCATGCTGTAAAAGTAGCAATCACACTGCTGTACATAGCCTGTGCAGAAAGTATAGCTGTGGGAGGGGCCTGGCAGGCCCCTCCCACTACAGGCTGTTGCCTGGAAAAATCTACAGGAGGGGGTGGAGATGAGACCTGTCACCCTGCACAAGGAGAGAGCAGTAGTGACTGGTCTTTATTATGGGAAGCTCCTGCACAGAGGAAATGTTGCACACCTTATAGAAAACTTATTGTTTTCTTTGTGCTCTTGCTATAATTGGTGTTGTGCAGAAGCCACAGTGATTGGGTCCTAAAGGCTTGTTCAGTCAGGTGCCTTGAGCTCTGTTAATCAGTGCAGGCTCAAAATAAGAGCGTATGGAGAACCATTGTTCTCAATGTGACCTGTTAACGCCATACATGTGTGATGAATGCAGCATGTGTGCATTTCTGTGCAGTGTTTTGCAAGGTCATGAAGGGTTAATCCAGGGGTAGGCAACTTTGGCACTCCAGCTCTTGTGGAATTAAAGTCCCATGAGTCATTGCAAGTCTGACAGCCACAGGCATGATTTGCAGAGGCATCACCACAGCTGGAGTGCCAAGGTTACCTACCCCTGGGTTATAGAATAACAGCAAAATGTATGGGTGAGGTTAGAGCCCCTGTCGGCTGATTTGTTGGTGTCCCTGTTGGAGATTCACTATGTCCTGATCACCAGTCAATGGGAATGAGTGATGGCTTAATCTAAAATGTTGAGCTGCCCCCCTGAACAGGAATAGAGGATGATTCTTCCGATGGGGACCCTTGTTCTGCTAACTGTCTAAGGGATGTCCCTTATGTTTTTGTAGATTTACTTCCACTTCCTTAAAGACTTTATGGCAGGAAGTGAAGAGAAATCTCCCTAATAAGACAGCAAAACACATTGTCTGCAGTTTAGTTCTCCCCTATTCTGTTCAAATGGCTAGTTTTGCCTTTACATATACCTTAAGACCCTCTCGGTTACTTTTACCACCTGTCTTGTTTGGCATATTTCACTTTTCTTCCTCTTGTAGACACAACAGGAGGATGAGAGGAAATCTCCCCAAGTGAAGGAAAGGCAGTTGTTACCCTAACAGTTGTCTCCATTAGAAGAATTTGTCTTGTGTTTTTTTTCCCCCATGTTCTGGTGGCAACTGTGTTGGATTTTATCAATGTAATTCCCGGTGACATTGGTGATCAGGACCATTGAAGAGGGTGATACCCCCCCCCCCCCCCCCC